GATTGCCACAGAAAAATTAGTTAAATCCATTCCATTGAATATAGTCTTTTGAGTTAAATCTAGTAATATAGACTGGGACACATAATTATCTTTTTTGTCACTGGACAATTTAGTTGATCAAAATAAATGATCCGTCATTCTACATCCATGATTGCAATAATGCAAATCATTAAAAAAAATAATTAATTATTTGAAAAAAAAAACATGTGTAATTTAATCTAAATAATATAAATTTGGAGTTGGCAATAATGCATACAATTAAATAATTATTTCTCTTTCATTTTTTTATTTATTTAATTGTTTTCTCTCCTCTGGCTAAACATAAGATTCCGACTTTCCGGGTGATGATATTCGAACTTTGACAATTTAAATTTAAAATAAAATGAAAAAAAATCATTCATTAAATTCCACACGAGGAATATTTATATAATAAGGTACAAAAGTTTTTGAAGAATGTATCAAAATGTATGTGAGATACATTTTAATCCAATGACTGAGATCAATTCTAAGAATATATTAACGGTACAGATCATAATAAAGGACAAAGATTTTTGAAAATGTGAGATATATTCTCTCCCTCAGCCTTCCACCTATCCACGTATCTCTCTCCCTTTCTGTTCTCACCCACGTCTCTCTCTCTCAGCCTTCCACCTACCGACGTCTCTCTCAGCCTTCCCTCTTTATCTCTTTCTCCCTCTCTGTTCTTCTTCTTTCCGCTTCTCCCTCTTTATCCTTCGCCGCTGCTCATCATCACCACTCGCAAGGGTTCGATTTCGCTCGGCTCGCAAGGTAAGACGTTGCTCATCATCACCACTCGCAAGGTTCCCTCTCTCCTCTGTTATTGAAATATTTTTGTTGCTGCCTTAGGGTAGTCGATTTCTGCTTTCGCCGCTGCTCATTATCACTACTCGCAAGGGTTCAATTTCGCTCGGCGCGCAAGGTAAGATGTCCTCCATTTCTGTCTCTCCCCCTTTTCCCTGCTCTATTTTTACGATTTCCCTCTCTCATCTGTTTGATTTTTAAAATGGAAAACTATTTGTAATGGAAAAGTATCTATTGGGTTCAGATTGTAATGGAAACTTGGGTTTTATTCTGTAGCAAATGTATTCATTCAAAGTTCGATTTCTGCATCTCGATTTCTGGTTTGTATCTCTCTAATCCTAACATTATTTTCTAATCTGAACATTATTCAAAGTTTGTATTCAAAGTTTGATTTTTTTTTTTATTTAGTATTCAAACAATCTGATCTATTTTTATAAATGGGTATTTGTAAATGGAAAGCATTTTTTTTTCCAAACTTAGAATCTATTGGGTTCTTCTTTTGTATTCAAACAATCTGCTCTATTTTTATTTTGTATTCAAACATTCTGCTCAATTTTTTTAAATGGAAAAGTATGGAAAGTATTTTTTTCCAAACTTAGAATCTGTTTCGGTGGCTTCAAGGTTCTGAAAATCGAATCACAACCCTCTCTCTAGATGCTCTCGAACTCAGCTAGCAAGGTAATATCGATTTTTGCCTCTCCCCTTCTCTCTCTGTTTTGCTTTGGTGCCTCATTTGATTCATGGTGTAGTCATCTGTAACCCTCGCACTTTGGTTCTTATTTCTTTGGTAACGTTTGGTAGCCGTCACCCTGCTCTACCTTACCACCACCATCGACATCCCCACTACTCTCAATGCTACCACCCACAACTATTATCATCACCACTATCTAATAGCCATAACCACCAATTTGTCATAACCACCAATCTGTCACCACCTCTAATAAATGTGGATATTCAGAAATATAATATATAAAAAAAATGTGCATATTCAGAAATAGGCACCAATCTGTCACCACCTCTAATAAATGTGCATATTCAGAAATATAATATATAAAAAAAAATGTTTAGGTTGAGTTTATGGTTGCCGTATATGATATTCATGTTATAAAGGAAAGTTTTTGTTTAAGTAACTATTTAGATTTATGAGTCTCTTACTAACAAGTGCCACTAAAGCACATGAAAAATATAAAAAGGAACATAATACACTATTTATTGAATTCAATATATTTTTTCTTGAATTCAATTACACTTTTCATTGAAATTAGAACACTTCCTAACCATTTCACCTATTTTCACAACACTTTTACTCCAATAAAAGATAACAAATAAAAAAAAAAATACCATATCTATATATTCACCAAATAAATATAATTTTGTTTCAGACTTTAGGTGTCAGTGAATCACTCGGCAATTAAATCTCCTTAGGTAGTTGATAAATTTGAAGTTCATTTAAAATTTTCCCGCCCTTATATGGCAACATAGATGGAAACCCAACAAAGCATAAAAGTAAAAAGGAATATACTCTGTAAATCAAAATTGATGGCATGAAGCATGTAACTAATATATGAAGGTTTTATCACAGACTTCGACGTTCCAACGCCTGAGGAGCTCCCGTTTGAAATTCTATCATCATTTGATACAAAGAATACAACAGTATACCCAAATGAACTCATTCACAAACCTGCCAACGAAGATAATCCATAAGTAGTACTAATAATAATAATAATAATAATCCTCCTCCTCCTCCTCCTCCTCCTCATAATAATAATAATAATAATGACAATAACAACAATGATGACCAACTCCAATACTGATATTCATTGGTTTTATTTGCGGAGAATTTACGAAAGGATAAAACTCCACCGGCATTGTTTTTCAACATTGTCAGTCCCTAGCCTAGACAAAGGAGGAGGATTATGTGTTAACCAAACAACCAACACATCAAAGTCTTATCAGATTTTGAACATGAATCTGAATATGAACATGTAGGTAAAGACTATGGCTGAATTTACTTAATTTACTTGATAATCCTGATTTTTTATTAGTTGGCTCCGTGCTTAGTTTTATTTGGAATATTTGGAATACTTGATAGTTTTAGAGTTTAGACTTTCATTAGTTACAAGTTTTATTTAAACTTTCCATTGCATTTTCAATGTGTTGGGTTAGATTTTTTGAATTCCCAATACATTTCCCCTCGTTTATGATAATTTATTACGTATAAAACCCACCATAATCACTATAAAGTGTATTGTTTTGTACAGTGATTAACAGTTTAACAATTTTAATTGTGAACCTCAATTCAAAACTTCCCCCAAATGGGTTTATTGTACACGAAGTGATATGAAGAGGCTTTTGAGCATATGGCAGATCCCATTGAGCATATCAAATTGCAATGTCCTTAAATTCTTGGATTTGGGGTTTAATAGTCTGAATGGGAGTATTCCAATTGAGGCTGTGGGTTTGAAGAGTCTTTTGGCTTTTCGATTGGGGAATAATTCGGTTGATGGAACTGTTCCAGCAGGGTTTTGGGAGCATTGAATTGCTTGAGGTTCTGGATTTGCGTAATCTCAAACTGGTTGGCAACATTCCTGAAGAAATCAGCAATTGCAAGTTTCTTCTTTAGTTGTGAGTCCAATTGCAACATTTCTGGAGAACATAACTTTCCCTGCTTTACAGTTCGTTTATCACAAAGCTGGAGGAAGCAAAAATAAATGAGCAAGATAATGCGTGAGTTGAGCAATAAAAACCAAGTTCTTTATAATATCAGCAACATGCAAACTGTTTTTAAGAAGTGAGGAGTGGTGAGTTTGAAGAGAAGTATGACCAACGTGAGAAAAAAGGAAAGATGGTTGTTATTTTCAACATGAATGGTGTCATTTTCCGGAGTAGTTTGTGTGAGAATAGAGGGATTTTATCTCTTAAGTTGTGTGTTTTGAGGCACTCATATTTGGAAACGACTGTTGATCGGAGGAGATGTTCATGGCTGCAAATGAATAGGGACATCATAGCATCCAAATAAACTAAAACCTTTGATTGCCATTAAATATTAGCCAAGAGCGCTAAAACCTTTCTTGGTATTTTGAAGAGTGTGGCGAAGATAAGAGAGTTAGAAAGAAGTAGCAAATACAGTGGAAGCAGCCACATGAAGAAGGAAATGAGAACAACAAATGGATGTGAAAGGAAATGCAAACCAGATGGTCCCGAAACTATGAATGCTCAGATACCATGCAGAACTCTGGGATAATCAATAACAATTTTTTTTTTTAATACATGATATGATGTTTACGTTGATACTTTTGCTAGGTTACTGTAGACACATGTTGAAATCCTTAATGTTGTAGGTTGGGAAGCAATATGCTAAAGAAAATGGATTGCTTTTCTTTAAGACCTCTGCAAAAACTACACAAAATGTCAATGAGCTTTTTTATGAAATAGGTGATTATATCTCTTATCATTTGGCATTAAGGGCATGTTTAGTCTCTTTATGAAATAGAAAATGCATTGCAAAATCTCTTTATGACTGATATGAGTTGGTTGACTGATATGAGGAGTGTTCTCTCTCCCTCTCTCTCCACATATGCACATGGATTTATATTTGGTACTACTGCTTATCAACCAACAAATTAGTCAAAGAAGATCTTTTTACATTATTTTGAATTAATAAATGAAGTGGCTATAGAATGGATGGTTTTTTAATACTCTATGTTAAATGGATTGTTCAAAATAAATCAAATACCCCGTGTCAAACACTTGACACTTGAATAAAGGTGTGCCATATGTATTCGATACTTTCCATCAAACACTTCTTACATAATTGTATTGAAAACTGTCATTATAGATATATTTTGTTGCTTAATTGCTATAAAATGAGTAAAATGTCTTCTTTTTATTTATTTATTTTTTATGCTCTTATCTTTCATAAAACACCATTTTATCCTACAAAATAAATTAAAAATATGAATATATGACCCTTTTCTGCTAAGTCAGCATACCCTTTAATTAGAATTTTGATTGCTCTGACATCTAAAATTTGCATCCACACCTGCATCTGTAACTGTGTCCATGTAACATTGTTAATACTGTTGTTTCCATGTATTGAATGTGTTGGTGTGGCAATCGTTGTCCATGGGTCAAGTTTACGTGCAGGGTTTATGTTATGTGCTTATTTTTAGTAATTCTTGCAGCAAAGAGATTGACAAAAGCTTCCCCTTCAAGGCCAGCGGGAATGAAACTGCTTAATAGATCACAAGAAGCAGGAAGAAGAGCATTTTGTTGCTCCAGCTGATACCTGAACTTGGCAAGAGAACGACTGTGAGTGATTTTCCTCATTTTAATCCCTCACCTTTAATTTGAAAGTTCATCTCTTGCCGTGGTGAAATGAAAATTATATCTCAGAATTGAAAATCTATCTTAGAAAATTCTCATGCCAATCGTTTCCTCTTTTAATAGGTAATCCGGGAACTATTGAAATTCATTTTTTGCTGATCCAAGTTGAAAACATGCAACACTTTGTAGGAGCCGTGTCTTACCGAATATTTGTTGCATGTATGTTGTATCTTGAAATAGCTTTGTGACAATTGAATTATTTTACATGCTTAGTTATGTGAGGGAAATGAATATGGAACTCAAAATGAAAATCATGGTCATGGTGCATTTGGGAGCATTGAATTGCTTGAGGTTCTGGATTTGCGTAATCTCAAACTGGTTGGCAACATTCCTGAAGAAATCAGCAATTGCAAGTTTCTTCTTTAGTTGTGAGTCCAATTGCAACATTTCTGGAGAACATAACTTTCCCTGCTTTACAGTTCGTTTATCACAAAGCTGGAGGAAGCAAAAATAAATGAGCAAGATAATGCGTGAGTTGAGCAATAAAAACCAAGTTCTTTATAATATCAGCAACATGCAAACTGTTTTTAAGAAGTGAGGAGTGGTGAGTTTGAAGAAAAGTATGACCAACGTGAGAAAAAAGGGAAGATGGTTGTTATTTTCAACATGAATGGTGTCATTTTCCGGAGTAGTTTGTGTGAGAATAGAGGGATTTTATCTCTTAAGTTGTGTGTTTTGAGGCACTCATATTTGGAAACGACTGTTGATCGGAGGAGATGTTCATGGCTGCAAATGAATAGGGACATCATAGCATCCAAATAAACTAAAACCTTTGATTGCCATTAAATATTAGCCAAGAGCGCTAAAACCTTTCTTGGTATTTTGAAGAGTGTGGCGAAGATAAGAGAGTTAGAAAGAAGTAGCAAATACAGTGGAAGCAGCCACATGAAGAAGGAAATGAGAACAACAAATGGATGTGAAAGGAAATGTAAACCAGATGGTCCCGAAACTATGAATGCTCAGATACCATACAGAACTCTGGGATAATCAATAACAATTTTTTTTTTTTAATACATGATATGATGTTTACGTTGATACTTTTGCTAGGTTACTGTAGACACATGTTGAAATCCTTAATGTTGCAGGTTGGGAAGTAATATGCTAAAGAAAATGGATTGCTTTTCTTTAAGACTTCTGCAAAAACTACACAAAATGTCAATGAGCTTTTTTATGAAATAGGTGATTATATCTCTTATCATTTGGCATTAAGGGTATGTTTAGTCTCTTTATGAAATAGAAAATGCATTGCAAAATCTCTTTATGACTGATATGAGTTGGTTGACTGATATGAGGAGTGTTCTCTCTCCCTCTCTCTCCACATATGCACATGGATTTATATTTGGTACTACTGCTTATCAACCAACAAATTAGTCAAAGAAGATCTTTTTACATTATTTTGAATTAATAAATGAAGTGGCTATAGAATGGATGGTTTTTTAGTACTCTATGTTAAATGGACTGTTCAAAATAAATCAAATACCCCGTGTCAAACACTTGACACTTGAATAAAGGTGTGCAATATGTATTCGATACTTTCCATCAAACACTTCTTACATAATTGTATTCAAAACTGTCATTATAGATATATTTTGTTGCTTAATTGCTATAAAATGAGTGAAATGTCTTCTTTTTATTTATTTATTTTTTATGCTCTTATCTTTCATAAAACACCATTTTATCCTACAAAATAAATTTAAAATGTGAATATATGACCCTTTTCTGCTAAGTCAGCATACCCTTTAGTTAGAATTTTGATTGCTCTGACATCTAAAATTTGCATCCACACCTGCATCTGTAACTGTGTCCATGTAACATTGTTAATACTGTTGTTTCCATGTATTGAATGTGTTGGTGTGGCAATCGTTGTCCATGGGTCAAGTTTACGTGCAGGGTTTATGTTATGTGCTTATTTTTAGTAATTCTTGCAGCAAAGAGATTGACAAAAGCTTCCCCTTCAAGGCCAGCGGGAATGAAACTGCTTAATAGATCACAAGAAGCAGCAAGAAGAGCATTTTGTTGCTCCAGCTGATACCTGAACTTGGCAAGAGAACAATTGTGAGTGATTTTCCTCATTTTAATCCCTCACCTTTCATTTGAAAGTTCATCTCTTGCCGTGGTGAAATGAAAATTGTATCTCAGAATTCAAAATCTATCTTAGAAAATTCTCATGCCAATCGTTTCCTCTTTTAATAGATAATCCGGGAACTATTGAAATTCATTTTTTGCTAATCCAAGTTGAAAACATGCAACACTTCGTAGGAGCCGTGTCTTACCGAATATTTGTTGCATGTATGTTGTATCTTGAAATAGCTTTGTGACAATTGAATTATTTTACATGCTTAGTTATGTGAGGGAAATGAATATGGAACTCAAAATGAAAATCATGGTCATGGTGCATATACTTAAAGTCTGGTTGATAAGATTGATGAGGTGAAATATTATTTTATTTTGACGCTTAATAATTCTTTGAGCTCAACTTGATAATAAGATGAAACACCTTGAACTCTCATTAAGATTCACTCAAGAACAAACTGGTCAATCTCATCCATGAGATAGACAAGTCAACCTCAATCTTAATTTCAAGGGTAAATTACACTGACCTCTATTGTGGTTTGAAGAAAATATAGCAAATCCCACAGTTTTGATATAATTACATTGACTTTTTTGTTAATAAGGTTAAAGAGACCAAAACTAATGCAAATGGTATGAAAACACAAAGATGATATCATTTTTTCATTTGTACAATTAATGATTTTTTGATGAAAAGAGGATTGAGTGTACTGTATATATATATATATATATATTTTCAATCTTGACGGGAGATTAGTGTAATTTATCCTAATTTCAAAATTAACTATGAAATGGATTTTGATTCTTTGTTGTGCAAGTCTCTGCTATGATTTTACTATACTTCTAATCACAGCAGGGCATGTTATTAAAGAGATGATCCAACAATTTAGGTATAATCTTAACCGTAACATCCCAAAATGACATTATTTTGGGCTAAAAAAAAAAAAAAATTTGAAGAACGTGCGTCAGTTTGTGATGGTGGTGGTAAACTTGACCCCACCTCCAAAGATGAAAAAGTTGAATACAAAAAAAGATCACAGGTTGGGACACGACACTATCACGATCTATATAATAAGGCAAGAGGCTTTTTGAAAATGTCTTAAAATGAGTCTTTCTGCAACAAAGCATGGTGCATTTCCCTTTGCAATGCATATCCTTTTTGGTTTTTTTACTTTCTATCATGGACAATGGGATTTTTGAACCTTGATATCTGCTACAGTGGCCACAAGGTATCATTTGGCCATGAAATCCATTAGGACATCCATCTTCAGCTAACTTAATTTTGGTTTTGTGTTGTACAGACCTATATGTTTAAGTATGATAGTGTTCATGGTCAATGGAAAAAAAATGAGCTTAAGGTTCAGGATTCTAAGACCCTTCTCTTTGGTGACAAACCCGTCGCAGTCTTTGGTATGAGGTATTATAAGCTGATTTTGCTATCTTTATATTTCATTTTATTTTCAAAATGGCACCCTTTGATTATTAATAATTTATTTTTTGATTTTATTTAGGAACCCAGAGGAGATCCCATGGGGTGAAGCTGGAGCTGAATATGTTGTTGAGTCCACTGGAGTTTTTACTGATAAGGACAAAGTTGCTGCCCATTTGAAGGTTTGCCTTTATTTTTTTGCTTTATGGATTGGTATTTTGATTTGTGTGCATACTTTCTCTGATATAGTTGAAGAGATATATTTGTCTTACTTTCATCAATATTGATTTCTGGTTCTTTTATTTCTTTAAATGGACGTGTTGCATGTTGAATCTGTTTTCTTCTTTGGCTAAAATACCAGTGCTGGTACAATGCCCCACTCATGAATTTTGACTTGACATGTTATGCTCAATTGGGCAATGTTTGTTATTTTGTTGGCTTGCAAATGTTCATGACGACATGGTTTGTTGATAGTATTGCTCTTGATTTTTTTTTAATCACCAGGGTGGTGCAAAGGAGGTTGTCATTTCTGCTCCAAGAAAGGATGCTCCCATGTTTGTTATGGGTGTCAATGAGAAGGACTACAAGCTAGATATTGATATTGTTTCCAATGCTATCAACAAACCATTAACATTATCAATATCTAGCATTGGAAACATTATTATACCTGTACGGAGGCGAAATATCCTCTGCTTTCCGTACTCCTTGTACTCCAAGTTTCTCTTGGCGGCGTCTACCTGGTAACACAAAAAAGGTGAACTACCCGGCGATGGTATGCCGGAAAGACCCTCCGACGATCAAGTCAGTCCACTTGAGGAAGGAGAAGACAGATAGAGAGAGAGAGAGTGTTTCCTTTGGGGAAGAAGTTGCATACCTCTAACGTTCGTCCTCCTCCCTATTTCAAGGCTGGCCATGCAGCCTCAAGATTATGCGTGCACTACCTCTGTTGTCCTTCCCAAGACAGGTGGTAGTGCTCACCTTTCACCACCTTACGCGTGTACAGGCTTAGTCCTCCCACCAGTACACGCAGAACTGTCTAACGGTATTGAAGCATGCATGGAGCAGATGTCCTTCCCTCATGCCATTGGCCCAGGTGGCACACCTGACCGCAGTACCACGACCGGCCTAACTCCCGCGAAGAACTATCACTACAGGCACTCAATCGCGCTATGCGCCACCGGACTGCCCCTTGGCAAAGGGGCAGAGGGATGATGCTCATGGGCCGGGCTGGTATTGACCGGTTTATCGTGGCATACCGGTCGCGAGGCATGCCGGCCTCCGTCCGTTCTACCTTCATCCGAAGTTATCTGGAATCTGCCCATCTCGACTATCCGGTCAAAGACGTGCCATCCCTCACTTGTCCATAGTTTAGCCCGAGCTGCCCGTAGCCCGGTCTCGCCACTTGGCTGTGTGCCCTGTCGAAGGTTTGCTAGTCGCAGCTCGGCCAGGCTTAGTTCACGCCCGATCAGCCGATCTTTTCGACCGAGCAAAACAGACCCACCGGTCCCCCCCTCGATAGAGGAAACAGCACGGCGCCGTGAGGTCTGTCACGACCCGCCCTATCTTAGCTCGGCCGTACTAACGGCGCAAATCTCCTCTCTCAATACCCAGTGTGTTAGTGTTCCCCTTCAATTACTATGCATTTGTCTACACCATTAACATTTGTTGTATACAGTTTTTATTTATTTATTTATTATTATTATTATTTTTTTTTTATGGTTAATTGATGGAATGCTTTCAATATATTTCATGAAGGAATTTAAGGATGAGGAGATGGTTGATGTGAAGTCATTACACATTCGAAACTTTCTCTGAAGTTGAGTTTGTTGGTTAGTGCTTTGCTTTACATTTAACAATTGTTAGGATACTCATATCCATCAATTGTTTCTCTATCTTCTTTGATTGAAATTCATTGATTACCTAGGGACCTGTCTTAAAAAGAGATGTAATCCTAGATTTAATAGTAAACCACTTGATTATCTTTTTATCTATAGTTATTGGTCGGTTTCCAAACAAAGAAATTTAAAAACTATGCCAATATACTGTAAGAATGTGATAGATCGCAGCCCTCTAAATCTCTATTCTCAAATTTTCACAAAATCTTAAAAAAAGGTAAATTATAAATATGCCCCTGATGTTTGTAAAATATTCTCACTCTCTCTATGGGAGCTTGCATTTTAAGATTAGTATCCAGAGTTTGGTAATGAGGTGCAGTGTTGCCTTTAAGTCAAACTTGGTTCTAGATCATGACACAATGCAATTATACAATTGGATTTGTTGATTGGGATTTTATTTTTTTTATTTATTTTTATTTTTTGTCAATCAAACTTGGTTCTTATGTAGTTATAATTTGATTAGCAGCAGTAGCCCTAACTGGTGTGCATTTAAGTTTTAATTTCTTTTAAATTGCAGAGCATTTGCTATTGTGCATTATTTGATATTTTAATTTTTTTTTTATATTTGATTTGTTTGGAATTGTAGGGTATAGTCTGTTAAATATATTTTTATAACTGCATTTTAATTTTAATATTATTTACACCGCGCCTTTAGGCACGGACATACGCTAGTTAATCAAAATGGAAAAATAATATCCGACAAACTAAACCGACATTTGATGCCGAATCCACATGGCAGCTTATATGAGTGTCCAAAACTGAAGTCAATAACGTGGGCCTGCTTTTTGACATTTTGATTCCGAATCCACGTGGCAGCAAATCTCAAATCAATAAAGTGGAGCCTATTTTTTCTATCCAATACACGTTTAGTGGGATTAATAAATTCGGTCTAAAAGATACAGAAATATTTGATAAAATACAAAATAAAATATGAAATACTTATACTACTGTTTGATTCATAGATTTAGAAAGAAAAAGAAAAAGAAAAAAATTAAATAAAATATAATTATTTTTTACTTACATTTCACATATATATATATATTTTAAATTCCCTTCAAAATTTATAACTAAATATGTCCCTACACAATTTTTATACATAATTCATGATAAGAATCATGTAACCATGATATAGATAAAATTCTAATGATAATGATAATGATTTCTTTGAAAATAAAAAGATCACATATAGATAAAATTCTAATGATAATGATAATGATTTCTTTGAAAATAAAAAGATCACAAGAAGCCACGAAATGGTCCAAAAATGAGAAAAAAAAAATATTTTTATAAATTTCAAAATATGAATAAATTACACAAAATTGTTTTAAGTTGATAAAATACAATAAATTTTATACTTTTTGCATACTCTCACCTTTGTTTTAATGATACATATATTGACGATGTTAAGTTTAATAATTAAATTACCTATACTAAATTAATTAAGAAAATTAACAAAAACAGATGTTTGGGTCAACAAGTGATTTTGTCCCATCCGTTAACCACTTCTTATTTTAAATTTGTTGAAAATAATTAGTATGAGGAAAAAACTGAAATTTTATTAAATAAAATAATGGTACTGTTAAAAAACTATCAATTTTATAGCAGAGTGTAATAAATGTTATACAATTTGAAATTTAAGCAAGATCAATGTAATTATGTTAAAATAATAGAGTATACCGTGATTTTCTCAATCTCAAAAGATATTAGTGTAATTTACCCTAACACTTTTTATCAATTTCAAAACTAGTTTTAACATTTTCACATGTATAAAAAAAATATAAAATAAAACATATTTTGTCGATATAATAATTATAGACCGTTAATTTTAATATTTAATAATGTGTTCCAATCTTATGTATTGAAATGAAAATTTTCATTCTAATATGCAGTTGAGTTTTCATAAAATCTTTTAGGCTATTTAATTGAGTTTTTACAATCGTTTTTTTTAAATAAAAAAATTAGAAAGTAATTTGATAAAAATTAAGATTAAAAAAATATTTTCAAATGTTTAACCCAGAATTTTTTTTTTATATATAAAAGCGATGATTGTTGTTGATTTTTATAAACAAGAAATTAACATTTGACCTTTTGATATTTTTAGTAATTTTTTAAATTTTTAACTATTATTGTAAGTTGCCAAAACAATACTAAAATATTTTTTTTTGTCAATTGTATTTAAAGAAAATAGCCAAATTATTGAAATTGAAAATAAATTTAAATTAATAAAATTAACAATTTAAAATTTATTTTATTACAAAGATTGAATTTTCATTTTTTTTTGGTTGTAATTTTTTCTTTTGTTTTAAATATTTTTTATAGTCTGAATTTTTTATTACTGACGTTGGTGCTATCGCAACAATTGTGTGTCCGTCTGAAAAAATTATACAACAGTCTTATAATATTATATGGTCATATATTTTTTACTAATTATCATTAATTATATTTATTTATATTTTTCAATAATCTAATATAAATAATTAATATTTTATATTTTTTACCATGAAAGTATGACGTGATTGTAGTTAAGACTATCGAATAATCATCCATCTTGTATTTAAGACCATCGAATAATCATCCATCTGCCTGATGTTACGCGTCTGGTTTCTCTCTCCAAAATAATGGCTCGTGTCGTGGGTAGTTTATAGCTCTCTCTTTATGACGCGTCTGGTTCCGCTCTCCAAAATAATGGCTCTTTCGTGGGTGGTTGGCTGTCTCTTTCTCTTCCCGTATCATCTTCATATTCTGTTGACTCTCTAACCGTACACCTTCGGACAAAAACCCCTTTATTAAACTAAACCACAACAATAAATGAGAGTAGTTAAGTATACTATTCTGATCACGTTACTCGACCCCCATAGCTCTAGCCGTGTCACGCGTTGTTCTCCATCATCGTCTACCGAGTACGCATAATATAATGTTGAATTAATTAAAAATATTTATGCGGTGTTTGATTGAGAAATTTGAAATAAAATTTGAAAAAAAAAATAAAAAAGTAGATGAAATGTGAATAAAATATATTTATATTTTATTTAATTTTACACATTTTTTTCTTTTCCTTTTTAAATCCTCCAACCAAAAATAACGTAAAACAAACATCTTATTTATCATAGAGTAATGTTAAGAATTCCAAATATTTTATTAACATTTTTATCAAAAGTTTTATATAAGTGTGAGATTCACATAAATCTCACACTTTTATGAGATATTAAATAAAAATATTAACAAAATATTTAAAATTCATAATATTTTTATTTATCATAATATTATCACGTTTCATGTGTGTCTCTGTAATTTTTTATAGTCCTCATAATGTGAATCTGGATAGTGACGCGAAGCTCCCAACTACTCAAAAAACTGCTCCTTCCCCTGTTTATCGGATATAAAATAAATAAAATTTACAACTATATAATGACATAGCAGTTTATATTTTAATTTTTTAGCTGTCATGAATTCAATAAGACACACTTCTCATCTCTTTATAGGTGAATTGTGAAATTTAAATTGTAACCCTTTAATATTTGTTGTCGTAAAATGAATCAATTTTTTTTTTTATGCTTAAGGATGTTTGGCATATAGCTAAAAAAACGTAAAAAATAAGTGAAATAAGTAACATTGTCTTTAAAATTTTTCAGTTTTCAAATTCATCTTGTGTGGATAAATATAAAAAGTAATATATATTGTGGAGAGGTGGTTTGAGAATACTCTTTTGATCCACTGGGGTGTTAGAGATCGTCAGCTGATAACCTGAAAAGGAATAAACATTCCAGTCGGGGGTGCCGGAATTAGCACTCCGACGGACAAGTCAGTCTCTACTCTCTGGATTACTTGTATTTTAAGTTAAGCGTACTG